TTACCATGTTGGTATTTTCTGATGTATCCTGGGGCGTTCTTGCCCAATTGATGGTTAGTCACTTTCGTGAAGAACAAGGGAGGGTGTTCGTGCGTCTGCGAACATTGCTGTTGGATACATGTGCTGGATGATTTTGTGTCACGCAGACTGGTAAGATAACCGTTTGATAGGGGACACCGCGATGATTCACGGGGCCCCTCCTTGCTGTGGGAGCCGCTCTTTGANTGATTCACGGGGCCCCTCCTTGCTGTGGGAGCCGCTCTTTGAGCACTCCCTCTTTCGTCCGTGTGAAGGACGGTCGTCTACCTCCCGTGAAGTTAATACATCACCAAAACAGTCTCACCCGATAAATAAGTGGCGTAGGCCGCAAACAGCTTCTTCCAGACTGATGGCAGACATGTTGAACGCCCCAGGAACGGCGTCCTGTAGTTCTTGGCGCAGTCTCAACGCCCGCGCCCGCTGGGCAGCCCTCCCCAACGATCCAAAGGGTCGTCCGGCGTAGTCACGTCGCGTCCGCCCCAGTTTGGATCTCGCGATCTTCCCGCACCTACAAGGCCAGGTTCTTGCAGTGAACCGATGNCCCGCTGGGCAGCCCTCCCCAACGATCCAAAGGGTCGTCCGGCGTAGTCACGTCGTCCGCCCCAGTTTGGATCTCGCGATCTTCCCGCACCTGCAAGACCAGGTTCTTGCAGTGAACCGATGGCCGGGGCTGCGGTTCTAACTACGCACTCCCGCGGAGGTGCGCTCTCATGGGCGCATCGGATGGCCTCCTTTTTTGAAGGGCCTCCCAGTCAACAGCAGTAACATTGTCGAGGATGCTTCTCTCCGCGATGGCGTCGCGGCGGCGTGGCTTTCCAGACGTGATCCAGCCTCTCCGCCATTTCAACTCAGTGTTGTCGCCCGACCTCGCGTACAGCACTACACGGTACTTTCGTGGCTTCTGTCTATCGATACTGAGTGCGTTGCGCAGCTTGAATCCGTCAGGAACCTGACTGCTGTAGGGCGGAGATCATCTCTTGCTCGAGCTCCATTCGGTCGCCGGTTTTCACAACAACATGTATGTGTAGCTACACCGCCCATGTGCGGTGTCACCTGCTGCCCAAACCAACGGTCGGGCCGCATATTTTTTTTGATTTTCGGCCGCACAACCATGATCTTTCCTGGCCCGGCATTTCAAATAAGAAATGGCGCGAAGCGCCAAAAAATGAAAGAGGCGTTTCGACGTGCGAAGCGCGCATTATATCCCCATGTTCTCGCCTCATTTTTGACGATTTCGGGGGCAATTTCAACGAATTGACCGCCACAGTTTGCGGAGTTTTTGTGTGAAGCTATCGTTCGGTTCATCTCGAGTGGTTTTAGATACAATTTCGAGTACCCCATAAAAAAAAACATGTTGTCTTTAGTGCCAGTTCTCTTTCCGCGGATGCATATGATGCATGGCACGCAATACATACGTGGGAAGGTACTATTTGCGAGTTGCACCATCAACCAACGCCCCACCAGTAGAATGGCCTTCGAAGTACCGTTTCATTCAAGTTAACATCTACAGTAGTTCGACTGTTCGTGCTCCACTATCTAACCCCTTTGCAGCCTCCCGGGTGAGCGGCGTCCCCGGTACACTCGCACTCCCCGCCAAGCTTCCGAAAGGCGTTCTGCTGTTTGGGTTTCACAGCCAACCGGCGCAACTTCTGTGGCACAGTGCATTTCTTGGGCTGGTCTGCCGACAAAAACTGCGGGTGGTATTTCTTGAACACCCCAATCCGCATCTTGTGTCCACACTCCACCCAGTGTTGCGGTTTACGGCGAGTTTTCGCGGGGGTGCCAACATCACCACCCGCTGACTCCCCGTGAGCCCCGGCAACTGGGGCGGATGGTGGAATGGAGGGCAGCTGGTCCGGCATCTGAAATCCGTCAGGCGCCTCCAGAATCCAAGGCTGCGCAAGACCACCTGCAGGGCCTCCTGCGTCGCCCGGGGCACGGAGATGTTCTCTGATGGGAGCATCTCGCCCCTGGGCAGGTCGTAACGTGTCCCTCATGTTCACCTGCGCGTGGTGCCTGCCAACGTCACCAGAACATGTTATGGAAGGAAACTGTCACCATGAAAATAATATGAAAAAAAATGCTGCAAGAGGAACAACCACAGGACAAGGTCGAAAGTGTAGTTTTCACTCACCGGTCTAGGAAAACAACACTTCTAGGACAACACACTTGAGAAGTTATTTCTTTCTGTCAATACAGCGGTTGGGACTCACGCTTTCCAGTACGCCTTGAGGTGTCCGGCCGACTTCCGGAAATGGCAATCACGTCGCCTTGCCCTCCTCCATGAGCGACACGGCCTTGTTCCATTCCATTGCAAAGCTGTCGAAGTCGAGCAAAGTCTGCCTCCCAGCCGGAGCGACAAACTCAACCAATGTCGCCGAACTTTGAGTTTTCAGCGGCACTGGTCACCGGCATGTGCGGCACCTGCACTCCTTGCATTTTTGCTAGCCTGGCGGCCGATCCCGTAAGCTCAGGGAGCGGAACCGCCTCTTCCACAGACGCGGGGTCCATGCTGCTGTTCTCCGCCCCACCCAGTATCTCCAAGACCGAGTCCGTACCTCCTCCGCCCACTTCTGATGGGAAAATGCTCCGGACGAACCCACTGCGCTCCCCGGTGTCACCGTATGCGCTCGTCGGCAGCCATTGGGAGTACTTCGCCTTGCCGTACAGCTTGGAAGTCATCCTCTGGTTGAAAAGTAACGTTGCGGTTTAGGCGTTGTGTTGGTGGTGGTACGAAATGATCAAGCCACGATTCACATGTCAACTCTATCAAAACCTAGGGTTAACGTTGATCGGCTTCGGCCACTACTTCGCAGAGGTGCGGAACCAGTTCGTGGTAAGTGTACCTGGATGGCCTCAAGGATTGGTTGGTCGTAGAACCCCCCGACGGCCTCATCGAGGCCACGGTTCTTCATACTCTGGCGTAGGTTCCACCTGTAGTTGTACTCGAGGAGAAGAAGATGGGCGAGCCTGGGAGAAATGCACCACGCGACCAGCAAGCGCATGTGCAGGTGGAACCCCTCTAGGTCGTTGGTACCTCGAATACAGCGAAACAACGGGCAGAGAGTCTCAGCATCCTTCCCTGCCTCGAAGTACAGTGCCTCGTTCGGAGCGTCACTACAACAATCGTTCATGATGTGTACTCGAAGACGCTTGATAGCCTCCAGAGCTTCCGCTCGAAACAGTGGCTGCTTCGTTTTCTTGTCAAGAAGCCCACCGTACAGGTTGTTGACCACGTCAAAACGCTTGAGCAGCTCTGCTGGCCGTGGGATCAACCTGCCGGCAGCAAGTACAGCGAGGCCAAAGGACCGACAGGTCAACGCATATGTGTAGGTGTTCAAATTTCCACATTTACGCGCTCTGCTACACGAAAATCAACACAACGCACTGCACCCAAAATCACGGTAGAAACGCTACGCGCGCCGATGTTCCTCACCTTCGGCATCGCTTGAGGAATAAAACCCAATCCTTGCCCTTTTTGGCTTCCACCTCTTCCTTGCTCATGCCCGCCTGGCGGAGGGCTGCTTCCACCGCCGCGAGATCTTCCGCGTTCACCTTGAAAAACTCGTCTCTCAACCGTGCCAAATACGCACGACACGCGCCGTGGCTCTTGAGGATGAGTTTACTCACCTCACCCGCTGCATCGCGTGGAAAGTGTCGAGCTTCACAACAAGCCCAGCAACCTGAGATGCAGTTGGCATTGGAAACCAATAAACCTAGGTGCTATGAGCAGTTTCGGCGCAATTATGCGCTGGGGAAGTTTCGGCAAGGAAAAAAAGGGCGGTGTCAGTCGCGAAGGATTTGTCTACGGTGTCGACCACAGCCAAGAGCGCAGCGACAGTACCTGCAAGGCGCAACAACGCGTAATTGCGTTGGTCGAGTGCTTTCAACTGCTACCCAACCAATAACGAGTAGCAGGTTGTCCTCGTTAAAAATCTCAACCTCACCTTGAGAAATAGTAGCTCTTCAACTTCTGCGCTGGACATGTCTGCGGTGACGTCGAGAAGCACCTCGGCCTCCTCGTCATCACCCCCACGCGCTGTTGCTGCTTGTCTCTCATCGGTCAAGCCACCCGAACCCGCGGAATTCCCACTCGCTGTTGCTTGTCTCTCGTCGGTCAGGCCACCCGCACCTGCCGAATCCCCATCCTCTGTTGCTGCTTGTTCCTCGTCGGTCAGGCCACCCAAACCCGCCGAATATGCTACGGACTCAGAACTGAGCGCTTCGATGCCGTCTAGCTCCCCAGCAAAAATGGCTCGGAAGGAGTCACGAACTCCGCCCCCCCTTGACCCGCTCCATTTGCTGCCTCCGCCGTGCCAACACAATCTGGCAACCGTGGACCTTCCTTGCCGCCACCATTTGTCGCCCTCAGCCCGCTCCTTTCGCAGGACACTGTGCTCGCCTCTACGTGCTCGCTGCTAGTGGCTGCCTCTTCTGCTGGCGCCCGTGCTGCCTCTCCTGCTGGCGCGCCCGCTGGTGCTCCTGGTGGCGTTGCTGCTGGCGATACTTCTGGCGCTCCTGCTGGCGCACCTGCTGCTCCTGCTGATGGGGTAGCAGTCATCTTCCGCAAGCGGCTTGCATCCCACAGGATGACGCTGTCCACCCGGCTTGCAAGCTGCGCAGTGGCGGGATCACCACGGCGATCGGTGGCGTCTGGGTACAAGGCCTTTGCGCGGGGCACGTGCACCCTATCCAAGTGTACAGCCCAGCGCCGGGCGAAACCTCGTGTAGCACGACGAGGCACCAGGTAGATCCCCGTTGTCCCCCAGGTCTCGTCTGTGTGCTCCACGATACACCCCTCGCCGACGCAGTCATTCCCTGCGCGAGTGTACAACCGTACACTATCTCCGACATGCATCTCCTCGGCATCTCTGAAAATCGAGTCCGACAGCTCGCCGATGCGTCTATGAAGCAGAATACAGGCGTACGCATCAAGTGCTGCGTACCTTCGAATGGGGAAAAGCAGGAGTGGGTGCAACAGCCAACATTTTGGTGACCGACCGAACGGGTTAGGGCAGGCGTTTCTGAAGAAGACTTATTGCAGCCCTACCCCGATGTACCAAAAAATCCTAATGATCGAGATAAGAAAAATGAGTGGGTATCAAGCGGGGGAATCGCAGCGAAAAGACATTGGGGATAGGAGACTTCGGTGTGCAGGAGAAAACAAAGGGCGAGAACGATCCCCATACACGCACAGCACACCACCCCCTTCGGATATCGTGCGGGAAACTGCAAAATCGGCGTTCAACACCGTCGATTGCTGGAATGTGAAAAAGGGACCCATATTATCCAAGATTGCGCGTGTCAGTAAAAAAAAAAGGTGGAAAGTGAAATGCATCGCACATATAACACTTGTAGATGGTATCTGCAGCGAAGTCTTTACACCGCTGTTTGTGTTCGGAACCATATCTCCTTCACTCACCTTTTCTGGTCGTCGGATAAGTCGAGCTTGTTCCACTTGGACAACCGCACGATAGGGTCTTTCGGTAACTGCTTTTCAAGCAGGTTGACACACAAGTCCGCTAGGCCCCGCCTGAACCACAGCTCCACCTTCCGCTCCACCGCCATAGAGCGTAGGTCGACGGCATGAGCGACTTCAACACCATAGAAGCTAGTGAGCCTCGTGCAGCTCCCTTGATCCCCACACCGGTCTTCGTCAGCTTGGTATCCTCCAACAATTCAATGAGCGGATCGGGCAGTTCTCCTGGCACAGAACGCTGACCGTGCAAGATGTGGAATATCACTTCTCTCTTTCCAGCAGCTAGCTGAATGGTGGCGGGTGGACTCGGCGGTGCGCCAGCAGCCGATATCTCCCACTCTATATCTAACCCAAGGATGCCGTTGTTAGCCTATGCCTGCATTCGGGTCGTGTCCACTGCCGCCTTAAGGCACGGAGAATCCTGGTTGGCCTTAACAGGCTCTCCGAGAACAACGTCTGGCGGCAATTGAAGAACAGGACACTCCGAAGCAATCGGTACCGAATTGGTGACCGAAAACTGGTGCCCCTCGGAAGCCAACTCTTCGAAAATATCGTTCAGCAGAGCCTTGTCGTTGCAGCACTCGTCCGTGCTCACGAGTCGAGGCAGCTTGAAGCCACCGCCTTTGTACCGCGTGACGAAGAGCGCCTTCAAGTCTTGCTTGAGTTCCCGCAACGACCCCGACTGCAAGGCTTTCTGAAGCACCACCTGTGTGCGCGAGACCGTCAAATCAAAGAACACACAAACGTTCAACACCGACGGTCATCGTGTACCACTATCTGGGCTTATGAAAATCGAACAAAAAGTTGAAAGAAAACACACAAAGCTTCACTACAAACAGCGCCTCATCAATCCAAAGCTCTGCATATTACTTGCCTGTTCGAACTCGTTGAACAAAGTCACCACGCAATGGAAAGGCTTGGTGTCTGCAGCAGCGCCAGGAGCTCGTACACGTACAAGCTTGGCGAGCTTGAACGATGCGTCCACCTTCAGCACAGTGCCGTCAACTTGCTGTTGACGCCGCTGCAAAAAGTCCTCCCGTGTCCACTTTGACTGGCAAACGAAAAATACAGAGAGAAACAAAGGAAAAAAAAAGGGAGAAAAAAAGGGAGAAAAAAAGGGATACCACGGGAACAAATCAACACATTGTGCATGTCGACTTCCTCGCAAAAACCTTGTTGTTTCCTCGGACTCAACACCATCCAAATCGGAACTGTCTGCAGTATCCTCTATCCGTCGCAACGCACCTCGCCCTGCACTCCGTTCACATGCTTGTCTAGCCTGGCGGCCCTTGATCGCTGCATCCGCTCGCACCATACGGTAGACAAGTAGTGTTCTGAAGGGGAAAAGCCGTTGTAGCCGTCCGCATCCTCAAAGGACCCAAACTCGTCCTGCACTCCTCCGTCCAGCTGCTCTTCCCTGCGCCATAGAAGCATGCTGTAGTACTTGAGCTCCATGGAATGGAACCTATACANCCCAAACTCGTCCTGCACTCCTCCGTCCAGCTGCTCTTCCCTGCGCCATAGAAGCATGCTGTAGTACTTGAGCTCCATGGAATGGAACCTATACAGATGCGCCTGCTGCAAGGCCTCGCTCGATGCTGAGAAGCCCTTCGCGTGCATCAGGTTGTCCGTCACCTCGGCGACCACGTCACGGTGAATAGCGGACTTCTGTGCCAGGAAGAACGGGAAGCTCTCTTGTACGTACAACGGGAGCTGTATCAGCACGTCTGCGTCCCATCCCTGGAAAGTCACGGGGACTCGCTCCTTGCTACTCTGTTCGAATCATAAACGCAGACATGAGCGAGAAAAGTGCACTGGCTTGTGTCAGCAGTTAGTTGTGGGAAGAGGTGCTTTGGGTACAGGCGAGGGAAAGGTGCATTCGCACAAAATATGCGGACCCAAATCCACAAAGTACGGCATGCACAACCACTTGCCTTCGGCTTGGATTTGTTGTTCTCTATGCACCTCTGGCACATGTAGTACTTGCCCAGGAGGTCGCAGCAAGAATCCCGCAGGATGGCTCTGCGTGAACCTTTCTGCGGCCACCCCTTGACGATCACGTCTTTCGTGCTCTTGTAACGAGGGCACGGGAGCCGTCGATCAGGTACCCCGCGAGGTTGAGTGAGCTCAGGTAGCTAGACGAAGACGGGCCGGAGATGAAAATGGGCGACCTTGAACGACTTGCGCACCGTAGGGTCTGGGGGGTGGACCCACATGCCGTCGTACGGGTACGGCTTCTGGAGTTTTTGTCGTGGTGCCGCGTCGGAAATCTTCTCCTTAATCTGCTGCAGAAACGCACCCTGTCCCAATCTCGGGGACACCTGCAGCAGTTGATGCCACATGGAGGATTCTCGATAAGGCTTGCCCGTCTAGGGTAGATAATTTATGTGTGACACGCTCGATTCCTTCACAACAAATGATGCATCAGATGCATCAATACTCCTCTTCGTAGCGTTGGAGACTAGTTTCCGACGACTGCCAAAGAATCGAAACGAAAGTAAAAGGCTTTGTTTCTTAACACGCATCTCGTTACGAAGATTCGCTTCAAATCGTCTAAGGGGAGGGGGGGGGGGGGGGGGGG